GGATGCAATAATTACACTATCAGGTGAAAAACGGACGAGGATAAGGGGACCATATACAGTGGATGTTGTAACGCCCGCATGTGTGAGCGTGTGCGTGTGTGCAAGTGGGCGAGCGGGAGAGTGGTGGTCAGCGCTACGAACCCGGCGACCCGAGTTCGATTCCCGCTCGCGGCCAACACCGGTGACGATTATCTGAACGGATCCTGGGTCTCCCGCTAGGTCGACTCAGCCTCAAATACGTACCTGGTGCGGTGTGTGTAAACATCGCCACTGGGGGAGACAAAGGCGGCACTTGCCCTAACAGTCTGTTAAAGGCTACACGGGGGGATGTTTGTCGTGTGTGTGTGTTCTGGACGAGTGTTGGCTTTTAAGAGTTTTTTTCGGGGGGAAATTCATTTCAAGAACAAATTCCAATATAATTTAACATTTTCCCCTCCCGCATCATTAACATCGTACAATCATAACAACAACAATAATAATAATAATAATAATGCCACGCGATACAACCACATTTGCAAAATGCTATTTGTAACATTTTATCCTTACCCCCCATTGTATCGATAGTTCAATTTGAATATGTAATTGTATTTTTTTGAAACTGCGTGTTATCCCGGCGTGCTGCCTTGCCTAAGATTGCATTCACTTTCTTTGGTTCTTTCGGTAAAGTCACGTAGAATGAGAATAAAATAATAAATTGATAAAAGAAAATAGCACAATAAAATTCTCACGACGTTTCGGCCACAACACAAGCGGCCTTCATCAGGTGAAGGGACGAGACTGTCTCCAGCGCTGTCCTCCAGACAGTCTCGTCCCTTCACCTGATGAAGGCCGCTTGTGTTGTGTGGCCGAAACGTCGTGAGAATTTTATTGTGTTATTTTATTTTATCAATTTATTATTTTATTCTCATTCTACGTGACTTTACCGAAAGAACCAAAGAAGGTGAATCCTTGCAGTCACGAAAGCTTTAAATCGAAATTGCATTCACTGTTGAGAAATCGGCAGTGAATTTGTGCCGATGGAGTCTTTTATTTATTTTGTATGTATTTGTTTTCTCGTGTCTTGCTTGCCTTTCCTATTCATAATAAAGGTTCGTGGGTTAGACCGCGTTATTTATAAATGTGTCGTAACCCTCCACCACCCGACACGGCCAATCAGCAAAAAAAAAGGCGTCACGTTGACAAAAGACAAAATAGTTCACTACTTTAGCCCCACAACGGTGTGTTGAAGAGTGAATCCACAACATTTTCAGTTTGAGTAGTACGACGTTTCGCTGATGATGCTGGATGTAATTACCAGCGAAACGTCGTACTATTCAAACTGTAAATGTTGTGGATTCACTCTTCAACACACCGGTGTGGGGCTAAAGTAGTGAACTATTTTGTCTTTTATCAACGTGACACATTTTTTGCTGATTGGCCGTGTCGGGTGGTGGAGGGTTACGACACATTTATAAATAACACGATCTAACCCAAAAACCTTTATGAGACCTCCTTTGCCAGTAACAAGATATAGTAATAGGTTTTTACCCTTTTATCTGGCACAAAAACTGACACCTTTATACAAGGGATCATGTTTGCAATAACCACAACACAAATAGTCAAAATGCAAACAAAAAAATAAAAATTCAAGGACAGTGCATATTATTATCAGAGTTGTCTTTTTTGTTTGCATTTTGACTACTTGTGTTGTGGTTATTGCAAACATGATCCCTTGTATGAAGGTGTCAGTTTTTGTGCCAGATAAAAGGGTAACAACCTATTACTATTACCAAAAACCTTTATTATTAATAATATTGGTCGCGAAAGCCTGCTACGTGTTCAACTGCCTTTCCTATCGGTTCCTTTTCTGCATTTATTTGTTGTTGTAACTTTCTGATCCCGCCCCTGCTTGAATGTCTGTGAAACAAAGAGCTTCATAGCTCATCGGACTCCTTCCTACAGCCTACAAAAAATATTGCCGTTCGGATTTCGCGATATCATGCCACGTGACGCCACTTTTTTTTTTTGCACAGAAAATAATTTTTCAAAACGAGAATTCATGCAACGTGCTTTCGTGTTTATGAACGTAGGTTTGGAACTTTTGTGTTAAAATTCATTCAATAGCCCGATGTGATTTGCTTACACGTAATACGCCTGTGTGACCTGACTTTTGGGCCACCCCTTTAGATCGAGCATGTCCATCTACAGCCGCAGTTCGATTCCGTAGACGATCATCTGAACCGGCTCCCCTCGGCCTCCCTTAAGTCGACTCAGCCTCAAAATGTCAACCTGGGAGCCAAAGGCGGCCGGCCAGGCTTGTGACGTGCCGGCCTCCATAGGCGCCGCTCGCTTTACAGCACTTGCCCCCGGCGGCCTGTCGGAGCTTTACGGGGGATCTTTGCCTTTGCGCGTGTCGGCACAGCAGGAGGCCACGGCTGGTGGTGCCGACATCTCAGTCGGTCAACCCCATGGCACCTGCTGGGTCTGTGCCGTGACCTCCTGTCAGCGGCGAGCCTTTGACACTTCGCGTGATGGCCTCAAAGTGCACCTAGCCTGGCACAGGCGCCGCGGTGAACATGACTGCCGCTTAGCGACGAATGGCTGGTGCTGGCATCGGGAAGCGGCGGGCAGCGGAGTGGTTGAGCGCACCACGCCACAAATCGGGTTCGATTCACGCTCACGGCCAACACCGGTGACAATTATCTGAACGGATCCGAGGTCTCCACCTAGGTCGACTCAGCCTCGAATGAGTATCTGGTGCGGTGTGTAAACATGTATTGTTGTTGTTAGTGTGTGTGTGTGTGCGTTTATATCGGAAGCATAAAAGACAGGGAGAGAGAGAGAGATTGGTTTGGGGGAGGATCAGGATTTTAAAACACCAGGGGACTCGTCTTAGCGGGTCATGGAGTCACGTGGCGGGAGGGGTCGTGAGGGCAGGGGGAGGGGTCGTGGGGGCAGGGGTCGTGGGGGCAGGGGGAGGGGTCGTGGGGGCAGGGGTCGTGGGGGCAGGGGTCGTGGGGGCAGGGGGAGGGGTCGTGGGGGCAGGGGGAGGGGCAGGGGAGCCCGCGTCGGGAGGGATCACTATACGAGCTGGAGAGCACGGCACACTCCGTGTGAGAAGGGCAGGCGAGTGGTGGGTGGTGAGTGAGTGGTGAGTGAGTGGTGAGTGAGTGGTGAGTGATGAGTGGTGAGTGAGTGAGTGAGTGGTGAGTGAGTGGTGAGTGAGTGGCAGGCGAGTGAGGAGTCGCGAGTGAGTGAGTGGTGAGTGATGAGTGGTGAGTGAGTGGTGAGCAAGTGAGTGGTGAGTGAGTGGTTAGTGAGTCAGTGAGTGAGTGAGTGGTGAGTGAGTGGTGAGTGAGTGAGTGAGTGGTGAGTGAGTGGCGAGTGGTGAATGAGTGAGTGGTGTGTGAGTGGTGAGTGAGTGGTGAGTAATGAGTAGTGAGTGAGTGGTGAGTGATGAGTGGTGAGTGAGTGGTGAGTGAGTGGCAGGCGAGTGAGGAGTCGCGAGTGAGTGAGTGGTGAGTGAGTGGTGAGCAAGTGAGTGGTGAGTGAGTGGTTAGTGAGTCAGTGAGTGAGTGAGTGGTGAGTGAGTGAGTGGTGAGTGAGTGGTGAGTGATGAGTGGTGAGTGAGTGGTGTGTGAGTGAGTGAGTGAATGTTGAGTGAGTGGTGAGTGAATGTTGAGTGAGTGGTGAGTGAGTGAGTGAGTGGTGAGTGAATGAGTGGTGAGTGAGTGAGTGAGTGGTGAGTGAGTGAGGAGTGAGTGGTGAGTAGTGAGTGAGTGGTGAGTGATGAGTGGTGAGTGAGTGGTGAATAAGTGAGTGGTGAGTGAGTAGTGAGTGAGTGGGGAATGAGTGAGTGGTGAGTGAGTGGTGAGTTGGTGAGTGAGTGGTGAGTGAGTGATGAGTGGTGAGTGTGTGAGTGATGAGTGGTGAGTGAGTGGTGAGTGAGTGGTGAGCAAGTGAGTGGTGAGTGAGTAGTGAGTGAGTGGGGAATGAGTGAGTGGTGAGCAAGTGAGTGGTGAATGAGTCGTGAGTGGTGAGTGGCAGGCGAGTGAGGAGTGAGTCGCGAGTGAGTGAGTGGTGAGTGATGAGTGAGTGAGTGGTGAGTGAGTGAGTGGTGAGTGAGTGGTGAGTGAGTGGGTAAGTGAGTGGGTGAGTGAGTGGTGAGTGAGTGAGTGGTGAATGAGTGAGTGATGAGTGGTGAGTGAGTGGTGAGTGGGTGAGTGAGTGGTGAGTGAGTGAGTGATGAGTGGTGAGTGAGTGGGTGAGTGGTGAATGAGTGAGTGAGTGGTGAGTGAGTGATGAGTGAGTGGGTGAGTGAGTGGTGAGTGAGTGAGTGAGTGATGAGTGGTGAGTGAGTGGGTGAGTGGTGAGTGAGTGAGTGGTGAGTGATGAGTGAGTGGTGAGTGATGAGTGAGTGGTGAGTGAGTGGTGAGTGAGTGGTGAGTGATGAGTGAGTGGGTGAGTGAGTGGTGAGTGAGTGGTGAGTGAGTAGTGAATGAGTAGTGAGTGGTGAGTGGTGAGTCCCTCTACAATGGAGGTGCCATTATTGCTGAATTTGCGAGGAATGTTCCCTGCCTCGGAAGCCGTGATGACGAATATTGCTCAGGGGGGGGGGGGGGGGGGGGGGGGGTCTGGGGGTGGGGGGTCTGGGGGTGGGGGGGTCTGTGGGGGGGTGCGGGAGGAGTGAAAAGTCACGGTGGGGGGGGGGACCTTAGATGCGGGAGGGGGGGTTAGAGGGTCGAGGAGTGTAAACATCATCATCATCATCATCGTCATCATCGTCATCATCATCGTCATCATCATCGTCGTCGTCGTTAGAAATCGCTCACAGATCTCCAGCACCGGAGACTCATCAAGTACAAAACAATGGAGTGGGTGGTGGTGGTGGGGGTAGTGGTGGTGGGGGGGGGGGGGTGGGGGGGGGTTAATTGTGGGTGGTGATGGGAGGGGGGGGGGGTTAATTGTGGGTGGTGGTGCGGGTGGTGGTGATGGGGGAGGGGGGGAGTTAATTGTGGGTGGTGGTGGTGATGGGAGGGGGGGAGTTAATTGTGGGTGGTGGTGATGGGTGGTGGTGGGTGGTGGTGGCGGCGGTGCGCTACGGGGGTTGAGGGGGCGGCTGCGTCTGTTCGGGTTCCGCCCTGGGCACGATGCCCCGCGTGCTGTAGTACTCCACCACCTGCTTGGGCACCTCGGCGAGGACGCAGCGGGCGAGCGCGTCCGGCGATGCCTGCGCACGGCACGAGGCGAGCATCAGCGTCGGTACCGTCGTCATCATCGTCGTCGTGATCGGCACCGCCAGTGGCCCGTGTCAGAGTCAGATTCACACACTGAAGGGGGTGGGGGGGCGTGGCCTCGCGGGGGTGGGGGGCGTGCCCTCACGGAGAGGGGGCGTGGCCGCATTGAGGGGGGCGTGTTAGACACGTCCCCCACGGTGAGGCAGATGTGATAGCTGCCTCCCCCGGTGCTTTTTCATTGCAGTTTTCATGACGAGCCCGGGCGAGCCTCAATATCTTTAAACACGTAGTACGTGAAATAAGTTAACCTGGAGTTTGTAAGGCGAGGACGTGAAATGAAGGGGTCTACAAACATTACGTTGGTGACACACACTGAGATAGTAACAGGCACGCGCTTATTGCCCGCGCTCCATCCGGTTACTGAGGGGTTGCGCAATCAGAGGGGAGGCTGAGCTCGTCGCTGCCTCACCTCTCTCTCGTCTCTTGCCGTATTTGCAGCAGAGCTCCGCAAATTTGGCGATTTTGACTCTAAAAATGACTGGAATCGTACAAAAATGGCATTTATAACATAGATCAGTGGAAAAATCTTCATGTTTATTTCATTAGATTTTTTTTTTTACACGGCTATTTTCATTGGCGTATGACAGCTGAGGCTCTGCCTCCCCTGCCACCCATGACCACACGCCCCTGACGGCCCCCTGTGAACCCTTCCACCAAACCTGGCAGTCTCGCCCCCAATCCTCTCGGCAGGCCATCCATCCTTGACACACACACACACAGAGCCCGGCTCACGCATCATGCAGTGGCATCCCACGATGCCTGTCTCCACCGCACCAGGTACTCATTTGAGGCTGAGTCGACCTGGGGGAGGCCCGGGACCGGTTCAAATAATCGTCACCGTTGTTGGCCGTGAGCGGGAATCGAACTCGGGTCGCCGGGTTCATAGCGCAGCGTAGCGCTAACCGCTACACCACCGCTCCCCACACACACCCACTCACACACACTCTCACACACACACACTCACCCACACACACACACACACCCACACACACACCCCCACACCCACTCACACACCTACTCACACACCCACTCACACACCTACTCACACACCTACTCACACACCCACTCACACACCCACTCACACACCGACTCACACACCCACTCACACACACACTCACACACACTCACACACCCACTCACACACACACTCACACATACACTCACACATACACTAACACACACACTCACACACCCACACCCACTCACACACCCACTCACACACCCACTCACACACCCACTCACACACACACTCACACACACACTAACTCGGTCACAACAAAGGCTCCCCGTGTAGCCTTAAGCAGACAGTAGGGGCAAGTGCTGTTAACGAGTAGCAACTATGTGATGGCCGGAACGGCACATAAAGGGGGGGGGGATGGCCAGCACCACGCCCGGCCGCCTTTGTCTCCCCAGTGGCGATGTTTACACACCGCCACCAGGTACTCATTTGAGGCTGAGTCGACCTAGGGGAGGCCGCGAGCGGGAATCGACTTGTGGTTTGCCGGGGGTTCGCAATGCAGCGCACAGCGACAAAGGTCCCCCGTGTAGCCTTCACAGACTGTTGGGGCAAGTGCTGTAAGTAGCGAGTGGCAGCGCCTATGAAGGCTACCGGCACGGCAACACGAGGCGGTTTGGGTGGTCAGCGCCACAACGCCCGGCCACCTTTGTCTCCCCACAAGAGACGAAGGTTCCCACCCCCGTATGGCCCCGCATATTAACAGAGCGTCGTGGCAAGTGCCGTGGAACGATGGCGCCACACGGCACGCACGCGGACGATCGAGTCCACAAGTAGCGTCAACAACAACAACACCACCACCACCAACAACACCAAAATCGCACTATCGCCGGATAAAAGCGACGGTGTTTTTGTCCGTGATGTGTTTTTTTTGTTTGTCTGTGTCAAGCCAGCGGGACTACGAGAGGGGCAATCAGCCGGGCCGTTCCCTTCGGCCGCGTCTCCCTCTCTGCTTTCATCAGCACGCGGACAGCACCCAGCACCGATGCAGCGTGAATTTTTTATGCAGTTTGCTTGATGTATTTTTAGTATCGAGCATTGGGGAGGGGGGGGAGGGGGCCTTGCGATGCTCGGGTAGAGAGAGAGAGAGCAGGAAGAGACAGTGGCACTACAATCACGCAGCAGAGATACGAGTGTGCGTGCATAACGCTTGCTCTGAGCGTATGTGTGTGTGTTGTGTGTTATGCATTGTGGGGGGGGGAGCGGTGGTGCAGCGGTTAGCGCTACGCTGCGCTACGAGCCCGGCGACCCGGGTTCGATTCGTGCTCACGGCCAACAACACCCAGTGACGATGATCTGAACCGGTCCCGGGCCTCCCCTAGGTCGACTCAGCCTCGAATTTGTAGCTGGTGCGCTGTGTAAACATCGCCACTGGGAAGACAAAGGCGGCCGGGCGTGGCGCTGGCCACCCACCCGCTCGTGTGTCACAGTGCCGGCACTATAGCTGCTACTCGCTAACAGCACTTGCCCCAACAGTCTGTTAAGGCTATACAGGGGATCTTTGCCAGTGTCTTTGCAGATGCACACACATATGCACACATGAATATATTCATAAGAATGCACAAAGGCACCAATGCACCAACGTGCACGGAAGATAAAGATGCCCTGTGCAGTCCCTTTACAACCTGTTTGATGTGCTATGAAGAAGGGCCATTAACCGAAACGTCGTCTTTCACACAATTTGCATTTCAAGGCCACGCAGTTTCATTGATGAATGTGCCGGGATTTTTTTTTGCCAACGCACTCCCCCACCAGGTAATGGGGTGGGCTTAAGAGCTGTTAGCGAGCGCCTATTAAGGCCGCTGTAGGGCACATGACAATGGTGTATGGCAGCACCACATCCGGCCGCCTTTGTCTCCCCCAAATGCTGATGTTGACACACCACACGTAGCAGGGCACTCATGTTGAGGCTGAGTCGACCTGGGAGAGGCCCAGCACCGGTGCAGGCGTGCGTCACTGAATCGGAAATGAAACTGGGATCGTCGAGTTCGGAGCGCTATGCGCTAACCACCACACCACTGCCCCCACCCACCATGCCAGTGACGATTATCACCCGACACCAGGCGCTCATTTGCATGCGGAGCCGATCACAGACACACTTATAGCCCCCTCTTTTCCACTTGCACATCCGAGCCAAGCCAACGCGGGGCCACCACGTTACGGGTGATTGTTTACTGGCTATTTGCCGTGGTGAGTTGTCTCTCTCTCTCTCTGATTTGTCTCTCAATCTCTCTCCCCCGTCTCTCTAACTCTCCATCTCTCAGCGTGTGTCTCTCTCTCTCTCTCTGCGCTTCTCCATATCTCTCTCTCTCAATCTATCTCCCTCCTGTACCTCTCCACCTTCACATCCCTCTCCCTGTCGGTGAAGCTGGCTGTCACGATCCCAACGGCCTCCTACGATGGAGACGGCGTAGTGTAGAATCTGTCTAGCGCACCTACGCTTATCAAACCACAACCTCACCTGTGTACATTGAACTACAACCTTTACCTGTGTGCATTGAACTACAACCTTTACCTGTGTGCATTGAACTACAACCTCACCTGTGTCCATTGAACTACAACCTTCACCTGTGTGCATTGAACTACAACCCTCACCTGTGTACATTGAACCACAACCTCGCCTGTGTACATTGAACCACAACCTCACCTGTACGCATTGAACCACAACCTCACCTGTGTGCATTGAACTACAACCCTCACCTGTGTACATTGAACCACAACCTCGCCTGTGTACATTGAACCACAACCTCACCTGTACGCATTGAACCACAACCTCACCTGTGTGCATTGAACTACAACCCTCACCTGTGTACATTGAACCACAACCTCGCCTGTGTACATTGAACCACAACCTCACCTGTACGCATTGAACCACAACCTCACCTGTACGCATTGAACCACAACCTCACCTGTGTACATTGAACTACAACCCTCACCTGTGTGCATTGAACCACAACCTTCACCTGTGTACATTGAACTACAACCTTCACCTGTGTACATTGAACCACAACCCTCACCTGTGCTCATAGATCCACAACCTTCACCTGCGCGCATTGATCCACAACCTCACCTGTCTATAAATCCCTCCTCCGCGATCTTGCCCCACGTGATCTCGCTTCTCACGTCTCTCGCTTCCTCTGTTCCCGTCCTCCACGCTCCCCGGTCGCTGCCGTCACCTCGCTGTGCCTGCCCCCGCCCCCTGCCACGCCCAGTCTCGCTCTCTCGCTCCTCCTTCTCCCGACTCGCTTCCTTCTACCGGAGCAAGCTCCCACTGCAGCGCACAAAGCGAGCATCTCCACTACAACCACAGCAACCTGCAGCTTCCATTGCTCCCTGAGAACAGCCCCCCCCCCCCAACTCTGATCCCTCCCTCTAGCCCAGCAGCATCGTCCTGATACTCCCTGTCCCCGTCCCCTATCACTACCACTATCACTGCCCCTACCTCTATCACTATCACTACCCCTCTCACTACCACTATCACTACCCCTACCTCTATCACTACCACTATCACTACCACTATCACTACCTCTATCACTATCACTACCCCTATCACTACCCCAATCAGTACCCCTATCACTACCCCTATCATTATCACTACCCCTATCACTCCCCCTACCACTATCACTACCCCTATCACTACCCCTATCACTACCCCTATCGCTACCCCTATAACTACCCCCATCACTACCCCTATCGCTACCCCTATAACTATCACTACCCCTATCACTCCCCCTACCACTATCACTACCCCTATCACTATCACTACCCCTATCGCTACCCTTATAACTATCACTATCACTACTCCTATCACTATCACTACCCCTATCACTACCCCTATCGCTACCCCTATAACTATCACTACCCCTATTACTATCACCCCCTACCACTATCACTACCCCTATCACTATCACTCCCCATATTACTACCCCTATCACTACCCCTATCACTACCCCTATCACTATCCCCAGTCACTACCCTTATCACTACGCCTACCCCCTAGCCAAATCACCATCCCTACCCCTATCACTACCACCTACCCATATCACAACCCCTATCACGACCCCTATCCATATTACCCCTATCACTACCCCTACCCATATCACTACCACAACCGCTATCACTACCCCTATCACTAACCCTACGCCTATTACTACCCCAACCCCTATCACTCCCCCTATCCCTACTTAACCACTCCCGCCTATTCTCACGTCATATAACCACACCACCACTTTTAACAATAATCCCATCTTATGTACAATTTAATAATCGTTGCAAAGTGCCTTGTTTCAGGGCGCTGGGATATAAATATTTCGAAGATAATAAACGTTGTGATCCTCTAATAAACGTTGTGATCCTCTCTGCTCCCTTCATTATAACGTCTCTGGGAAAGTGGGATTCAGTGGGTGGGCGAGTGAGTGGATGGGTGAGTGCGTGGGTGGGTGGGTGGGTGAGTGAGTGAGTGGATGGGTGAGTGGGTTGTTGAGTGGGCTAGTAAGTGGCTGGGTGAGTGAGTGGATGAGTGGGTGAGAGAGTTGGCGGGTGAGTAAGTGGGTGAGTGAGTGAATGAGTGGGTGGATCAGCGGGTGAGGGGATGGCTGTATTAGTGGTTAAGCGAGTGGGCGGATGAGTGAGTGGGTGAATGTGTGAGTGGGTGGATTAGTGGGCGAGTGGGTGAACGTGTGAGTGGGTAGGTGAGTGGGTGACTGAGTGAATAGGTTAGTGAGTGAGTAGGTTGGTGGGCCAGTGAGTGGGTGCATGGGTGACTGTGTAGATGAGTGTGTAGATGAGTGTGTAGATGAGTGTGTAGATGAGTGTGTAGATGAGTGTGTAGATGAGTGTGTAGATGAGTGTGTAGATGAGTGTGTAGATGAGTGTGTAGATGAGTGTGTAGATGAGTGTGTAGATGAGTGTGTAGATGAGTGGGTATTTGAGTGAGAAAGTAGGTGGGTGGATCAGTGGGTGGGTTCATGAGTGTGTAGATGAGTGGGTACGTGAGTGAGTAGGTGGGTGGGTATGTGAGTGGGTGGGTGCGTGAGTGGCTACGTGAGTGTGTAGATGAGTGGGTACGTGAGTGAGTAGGTGGGTGGGTATGTGAGTGGGTGGGTGCGTGAGTGTCAAGGTGAGTGGCTACGTGAGCGATCGAGCGAGATGCGGCAGCTTCTGCGCCTGCACCCCCACCTCCATCTCCCCACCTCCATCCCCCCCCACACCTCCATCCCCCCCACCTCCATCCTCCACCCCCCCCCCTCCCCACCTCCCCCCCACCCCCCCCACCCCCCCACCCCCTCTCACGTTCTTGAAGTCACGGAAGGGCACGAACTGGACGATGTCTCGCGCCGCTGGCTCCCCGCGGGGGGCCCTGAGCACGCCGTCGTCGCCGTCCAGCGCGTGCATGTCGCCAAAGTCGGCGTTGCCCACGCCCACGATGACGATGGACATGGGCAGGTGGGAGGCGCGCACGATGGCCTCGCGCGTGTCGCCCATGTCGGTGACCACGCCGTCCGTCAGGATGAGCAGGATGAAGAATTGCTGCGCGCGACGGGGGGTGGTAGGTGGGAGGGGGTTAGGAGGAGGAGGAGGAGGGGCAGGAGGAGGGGGTAGGAGAGAGAGGTAGGAGGAGGACGAGGTAGGGAAACGAAGTAAGAGGAGAACGAGGAGGAGGTAGAAGGAGGTAGGAGGGGGAGGACGAGGTAGGAAAGAGGGTGGAGGAGGAGGAGGAGGCCGAGGGAGATGAGAGATGGTCAGCAGCTAAAGGAGGCGGTAGGTAAGACACACCAACAACAACAACGTGCTTTGATTTAAATCTTTCGTGACTGCAGGGATTCATATTCTTGGTTGTTTCAGTAATGTCACGTAGAAGGGAAACAATAAAATAATTAAAATATAAAACAATAAAATTCTCACGACGTTTCGACTGCAACACAAGCAATCATCATCAGGTGTGAAAACCACAGCAAGAAAATTTGAAAAAAAGTTGCGTTTTTTAACGTTAGCACCACGGAGAGCGATTTGGCAGTTATTCAGATGGATGAGTCCATCTATGTTCGGAAAAGAGGAGGGGGGAGACGAAAAATTAATGTATGCGGTCTGAAAGCCACCGTAAGCGTGAACAATCAATTAAGACCCGAAATGGTTTATCAAATCCTTCCAATGATTGCTAAGCCAGAATCCATCTTCTCGGTTGAAATTGTCTCTGTTTGTATATGTGGATAGCCTCATGAACGAATCTCTCATGATAGCCAGATGGCTTGCAAAGAACCTCTGTCTTGGAGAAGTCAATGTCGATTGAACACATTACATAAAATCCGTGATCTGGTTCCGTCTGTAAAAGATGTGATTTCGGACATACAGTACCCTGGCGTCTACAAACTAAGTTGCCTCTCTGGTAGTAGTTACATTGGAGAAACCAAACGACATGTCTCGGACCGCATTCGTAAACACAAAGCAGACCTAAAACACGGTAGGACCAACACCTCGGCCGTGGCAGATCACTGTTATAATTCAGTAGGCTCACATGACATTGACTTCTCCAAGAGAGAGGTTCTTTGCAAGCCATCTGGCTACCATGAGAGATTCGTTCATGAGGCTATCCACATATACAAACACAGAGACAATTTCAACCGAGAAGATGGATTCTGGCTTAGCAATCATTGGAACGATTTGATAAACCATTTCGGGTATTAATTGATTGTTCACGCTTATGGTGGCTTTCAGACTGCATCCATTATTTTCGTCTCCCCCCTCCTCTTTTCCGAACACAGATGGACTCGTCCATCTGAATAACTGCCAAATCGCTCTCCGTGGTGCTAAAGTTAAAAATAACCGCCACTTTTTTCAAATTTTCTTGCTGTGGTTTTTCACACCTGATGATGATTGCTTGTGTTGCAGTCGAAACGCCGTGAGAATTTTATTGTTATACATTTTTATTATTTTATTGTTTCCCTTCTACGTGGTGACTTTACCGAAAGAACCAAGAATAACAACTTGTTTATTCCGCGCCTTTCATGGCAGGAGGGGGGGGCATCGGTCCCGCCACTGCACGCGTGGGTGGTGGAGGATGGTGGGAGGGTGGCGGAGTGAATCATTCACGGCGTGGCACGGCGTGGCACGGCGTGGCACGGCACGGCGTGGCACGAGAGAGGGGGGCAGGGGGAGGTGAGGGGGTGGGTGATGGGGGGGGCGACATCTGAAGCTGCGGCATCTCCACTTCTTCTTCTTCCGAGCCAGAGACACCGACGACAATTTAACATTCAGGTAGCAGTCGAGCCGGCAGACAGCCTCGTCTGAAGCCAGCGGAGTGTACCACCATCGCTGGCGTGATGTCTCCTTCATCTTCATATGTTGTGGATCGGGGCATCGCGCCTGTTTCTGGATGATCACAGTCGCCACACTGCTACTGGAGAGTTTTTATTCTACATCTGTGCATCATCAGGTATCGGTATCCACTGCCATAGTTTGTGCAGTGGATGCGATTTAGGGTGGACCATGAGCAGCTTTGTGGAAGATCAAACCCCAGGCATCTTCTGCGTTGGATCTTTCACGACAAGGAGTTTTATATTCTTGGTTCTTTCGGTAAAGTCACGTTGAAGGGAAACAATAAAATAATAATATATATAAAACAATAACATTCTCACGACGTTTCGACTGCAACACAAGCAGTCATCATCAGGTGCTTATTGTTTAATATATATTTTATTATTTTATTGTTTCCCTTCAACGTGACTTTACCGAAAGAACCAAGAATATGAATCACTGCAGTCACGAAAGCTTGAAATCAAGACAAGGAGTTTGTTTGTGGCTTCTTTTTTTTCAATTCTCTCTCTCTCTCTCTCACCCCCCGTGGTCGCGTGGATTTTCACTCCGGGTTATCTCCACATTGAGAATCAACATCGCGCGTTTAGAGCATCCGGTCGCTGTACATTTCCACGTGGCGATGATAAGCCCACTTGAGCTCAGATATCATTTGTGACAGCCAGGTCGCTTCTGAAGAAGAGCTACAGTACGCAGTCGCCCAGGTGGGGCCTTACCTGGTAAAATAAAATAAAGCAGTTATATTTTGATTTAAAGCTTTCGTGACTGCAGTGATTCACATTCTTGGTTCTTTCGGTAAAGTCACGTTGAAGGGAAACAATAAATTAATAATATATAAAACAATAAAATTCTCACGACGTTTCGACTGCAACACAAGCAGTCATCATCAGGTGTGATGATGACTGCGTGTGTTGACTGCTTGTGTTGCAGTCGAAACGTTGCGAGAATTTTATTATATATCCTTAGCTCTTTCGGTAAAGTCACGTTGAAGGGAAACAATAAAATAATGAAATAAATATTTTATTATTTCCCTTCAACGTGACTTTACCGAAAGAGCTAAGAATATGAATTACTGCAGTCACGAAAGCTTTAAATCAAAATTTGAGAATTTTATTGTTTTTTATATATATTTTATTATTTTTATTGTTTCCCTTCAACGTGACTTTACCGAAAGAACCAAGAATATAAAGCAGTTACAGTTTAGTTTTTAGTGTCCGGTGCGGGGTGGGGGGTGGTGGGGGCCAAGCAGGGCCAGGGGCCACGTCCGTACCGTCGCTTCGCCCGTCACCTGCTCCTCCAGGGCCCAGCGCGCCACCTTGCCGATGATGGGCGCGATGTTGGTCGGTCCGTAGAGCTGCAGCTTCGGGAGGCAGTTCTGGTAGGCCTCCACCACGCCCTGGATGCCTGCTCGTGGCGGGGGGGGGGGCACGGGGGGTGGGGGAAGGGGAAGCGGGGGGGGAGGGGGGCAACCGATCGAATCGATCTGACTCCCCTGTCATGACAATGCCCCAAAGGTCAATTGATTTTGTCGCGCGAGGGACCTCTCCCTCGTTATTCGCGATGGGGCAATACCCTCCGGAGGCGCTCGTGAGCAGCGATCGTTTCGTGGGCAATGATATTGCCACCCCCCCCCCCCCCCCCCCCCCCCCCCCCCCACGAACATCGCACGCGCAAAACGACTGCCCAGATCCACAAGAGTTTTTTTGGGGGGGATATATCGCGTAAATGTATAATTGTGTCGTTAAACCCCGCCACCACCCGACACAGCCAATCAGTAAAATGTGATGTCGTCACTTATGAGCCAGTCACGTTCTAAAGCTTCGAGAAATTATCTCTCTCTCATCTCTCAACATCTCATCAGGATCCAGCGTGCCGGGGGGGGAGTGGGAGGGTGGGGGGAGTGGTGGTGAAGGTTGGCATGCACGAGGCGGTGGGGATTTTGGGGCAGTGTTGGCACGGTGGTTCCCCATGTGGTAGTTTAAAAATAAATATATATTCTTTTTTTTGTGTGTGCGTATATAATGATGGCCCGATAGATGACGCGCGTGAAGCATGTGCAGCAACACGCGCCGTCAGCCAACCTGGTTGTGAAAAGCAGGGGGATAGAAAGACGGGGACCGAACTCAAACCAACACCGAAAGGGCAAGGGGTAAATTATTTTGTTCATCACCATGGGGTAGTGAGTGATTTGGTTGCACGAGTCTCAATAAGCACGGGTTCCTCCGCAGGGCGATGCTATCGACGCGCCTGTTTGCGCCCCCGTTATTTGTCCTCGTTTGCACCACTGCCAACGCAGCATCACAACAGCAACAGCCGAAATGTGTGTTTTTTTTACCCTTCCTAGGAAACGTCCTACCATCGCTCGCGCAACAGAAGCCTCCGAAGCGTCCGCCCTCCGCGACTCTGACACGGAACGCTTGCGACCTTAAAATCTGAACACAACACCCCCGGCGATGCGACGTGTTGTGATGAAAGCCGACTGCCCGGAGAGAACCCCACGCGTGCAATGAACGGGGCGACAACTCTGTCCCGTGCATGCGGAACGGGCGGAGTCCATATGTTTACGTGCGCGTGTTGAACTTCTTTCGCACCGTCGCTGTGTGTGTGTGTGCGTGCTTGTTTGTGCGGTCATTGACGAGCGGGCTGGGACCGCCAACCTGCTGCTTGAAGCCTGGGTTTGTCTCGGTACGGTGCGAAAGAAGTCCAACACATACGTACGTGTTGTTCAAAGGGCAGAGCGCATTTGTCTCTTGAACGGCCCTCTGTGAGCAGCATCCCAGAGCGCACCGTCGTACAACAGCAGCCAACGGGTCCGTGGAGCCAATGGGAGGAGGTCATTCGCCTGGGCTCGCGGACGAGTTGGGGGGGGGGGGGGCTTGCGCGTGCGCTCATTGGCCGAGCGGGCGCGTGACGTCACAACGCAGCGGTCGGTAAAGAGCGCCGCGTGGAACGCGTGGAATGCGTGGATTGGATTCCAGAGCGCAGGTCATTTGCATAAATAGAAGCCTGGTCGATTGTCAATGGCCCACAATTCTGTGCATGTACGGTGGCGACTCTTCTCGATTTGAATCGACACGAAGGGGGGGGGGGGGGCGGCGGGGGATTGATCGGCACGGCGACGCTTCCTTACCTTCGCACTCCGGGTTATCAGGGTTGAAGTTCAAGGGGAAGTCGTGTGACACCTGTGGGTGAGGCGGGGGGAGTACAAAGACAAATATCCCCCGTGTAGCCTTAACAGACTTTTGGAGCAAGTGCTGTTAGCGACCGCCTATGAAGTACACGAAGGGGTGGGTAGACACACACACACAAGCACGACCGCCTTTGTCTCCCTCGTGGCGATGTTTACACAATGCATCAAGTACTCATTTGAGGCTGAGTCGACCTAAGGGAGGCTCAGGAACAGTTCAGATAATCGTCACTCGTGTTGGCCGTGAGCGGGAATCGAACCCTGGTCGCCAGGTTCGTAGCGCAGCGTGCTAACTGATACACTACCGCTCCCCACAAAGATAAATACAAAGATCCCCCATATAGCCTGTAACAAACTTAGGGAAGTGCTGTTAGCGAGCACCTAAGAAGGCCGGTACAGCACACGAAGGGGTGGGTGGCACACACACACAACAACAACCGCCATTCGCCATTAAGTGGTGGTGACGTCACCACGAGGCTTGTGCCAGGACATGTGCACCTTGAGGCCACGTGGAGTGTCGAACGCCCGCTGGCAGGAGGTCACGGGGCAGACCCAGGTGCCATGGGTCGACTGACTTAGATGACTGGCTGATGCACTACCTGTGCCCCCTAATGTGCCAACCTGCTGTGCTTTAGCCATCCGGCGCTCCGCTCGTTGTTGTGAGCGTTGCTCCTCCACCCTCCGTTGTTGTTGGAGGGCGACTACCTCCAACTGCCCAGTAGCGTCCTTCACGAGCCTCCTCCACAGAGGCCGATCTTGACACCGCTGGTACCAGTCATCGGCAAGTCCACTCAGCTCCACGTCCTCCTGTACCACATCACTCCATCTCTTCTCTAGCCCGTGCCGCGCCCGCTTAGCCCCCTCAATCCGGCTGAATAAAAGCTGTTTCGGCATGCGGTGGCTGGCCATGCGGGCTACATGACCCAGCCATCGCAGCCTTGCCCACCGGAGGAGCTCACCAATGGGACCTTGCCTAGATCTTTCAAGGATTTGTGAGCTCCTCACAACAATCCAGTCTGGTTAAAACCCAGGATGGATCGTAGGCAGGCCAGCCTAAATGTTTCTAACCGGCGTAGATGTTCCATTAGGGGGGTCCACGTTTCGCAAGCGTAGAGAAGGGAGGGAATGGCTGTGGCCGAGAAGACCTGAAGCTTAGTGCGGAGCGACAGACCAGGTAGCTTCCACACAGCGTTACGCAACCGATGAAAAGATAATGCCGCTCGACTGATTCGGAGTGAGACCTCTGCTGTTAAACTGGAGCCGGTCATAAGCACACTTCCCAGGTATGGGAAACTCTCCACTCTCTCCACAACTGCCCCATCACCGATTGGGAGTTGTGGGGGTGGAGTGTCCGATGGTACAAAATACCCAGGCAGGTGCTTAGTTTTGGTGGGGCTGATGGTAAGGCCCCATCTCTTAGTGGCACGCTCCAGTCTCAGCAGCAGCGTCTCCAACTCCTCCTCTGAATGAGCAGCTATTACCAAATCATCAGCATACATAACGTGGTTGAGCAAAAGGGAGCCATCCCTTGACCGCACCCGGGCATGGATCAGCCTCCCATTATATCTGTACCATATGGAGATTCCCCCGGTACAGCTATTGAAGGCTTCACAAACTACGTGGTCGAAATAGATGTTAAATAATGTGGGAGCCAGAGGACATCCCTGTCGCACCCCAAGGTGTACAGGGAAAGGCTCGGACTCCCGGCCACGTAGTTTTACCCAGGCCCTCTCACCATCATGAAGGTCCTTAATGATCGTGAGCAGAGGGTCAGGTACTCCGAAAGCACGAAAAACAACCCGGAGCCCAGGCCTATTGATGGTGTCATAGGCCTTGACCAGGTCAATAAAGCAGAGATGTAGATCTTGCTGGAATTCCCTACTCCTCTGCTGTAGGAGACGGACAGAAAATATGGCATCTGTGCAGGACCGCCCTTTCCTGAAACCCCACTGGGGCTCCGCAAGCCACTCCTCAGCATGCCTGGCAAGGCGATGTTGAATAATCCTTTCCAGGACCTTTCCCGGCACACTGAGGAGTGAAATGCCCCTGTAGTTGTTACAGTCTGCGCGGTCCCCCTTCTTAAAGAGGGGGACCACCAGGGCATCCTTCCAATCCTGCGGAACCAGTCCAGTGGTCCAGACTGTTGTTATTATGTCATATAGGGCAGTCTGTGCACAAACTCCACCCTCCCTCAGCATTTCGCTTGGGAGATCATCTCTGCCCACTGCCTTTCCTGGTCTCAGACTCCGGATCGCCCTCAGTACTTCCTCAACAGATGGCACCTCAGCCAGCCACTCACAGGGGGTAACTTCTTCCAATATTTGAAGCACCGCAGCCTCAGCAGGGTCATCCTCACTTTGTGCCATGATATTTTCCTGGCTGAGGGATTTTCCCTCCCCCAGGACCTCACAGAAATGCTCAGCAAATCTGCAAACCTGTTCCTGGGGGTTGGAGATTGGATCACCGTTTTTTCTCCCAATGATGGTAATAGGTGTGGTGCTGCAGGTTACATTTTTGATGGAGTTAAATAGAGATTTGTGATCGCGGGTCACTGAGGCAGACTCCATCTCCTCAGCAACCCGCGACCACCACCCATCCTTGCAGCGCCTCACGGCTCTCCGAACCACCGAGCGAAGGTTGCGGTAAGCCTCCTCATTCTCTGATGTGGGATTCTGTAGCCGATGACAGTGGGCCTGTCGCTTTTTCTCAACCATCCTGAACACCTCTGTCAGCCAGGGTCTCTGGGGAGGTCCTGACCGCGTACCCAAAGCAGACATTGCAGCCGCATGAGTCACAGTTCTAAACCTCGCCCATTTACCCTCGACATCAGGAGGAGTGGGGGGTGATGCCAACCCCAGCCGCAGGCGATGATGAAATTCTCGCTTGAAACTTTCATCAGATAACTGAGACCAGGCCACTTTATGTTGGAATGGGGTCCGGGGTGTACACCCACCACCGGAGTGGCAGAATGGCAGGTGCATCTTACAGATGACTAATCGATGGTCAGAGGGCAGATCAGCGCCACGGTACGTCCTGGTGTCAAGGACATGGGCTCGCATCCGCTGGTCCGTCACTATGTAGTCCAGCAGATGTTCTTGCTTGGACCCGGCATGCATCCATGGTGTTGTGTGGATGCGCCGATGCTGGAACAGAGTGTTGCTAATTACAAGCCCATGGGCTGCACAAAAATCTAGCAGCCTCCTTCCGTCGTTACTGAGCTGATCTGGCCCATGCCCTCCAATCACTCCAGACCAGGTGCCAGCATCATGACCAACTCGGGCATTGAAGTCACCCAACATACACACGTGTACACACACACACCCGTACGCACAAACACGCGCGTGCACACATACATAAACGTGTACACACACTGAGTAATAGGCCACAAACACAGCAGTCGATTATTTAGAACAGTGCTTCTCTACCGTTGTTCATTCCCCGGCTCTCACACTTCCCACCCCACTCCATCTTCACGGCCACATCGTTTGACCAACTGCGCATGCGCGACCGAGGGATTTCAGAGGGCCCGGGGTGGTGGCCGATGGCTGTCTATAAATTACAAACTTTGTTTTACTTTACCAGGTAAGGCCCACTGAGCTCTATAGCTCTTGTTCAGAAGCCACTTGGCTATCACAATTGATAGCTCAACAAAGTGGCTTACCGTGTGGAAATGTCTCGCAGTAGCCAAACCAAATACTCTGAACGCGTGTTGTTGATTCTCAATGTGGAGGGGAAAACCGAAGGACCCGGAGAAAAATCCACGTGACCACCACGGGGAGAGAGAGAGACACGCAAATTCTAAATATACAGCAGGCGTCAGGGTCAGGATTGAACCCACTGCTTCCTGTATACCAGGCGAGGTAGTTAATATCTCACCACGCGGAGAGAGAGAGAAATACGCAAACTCCAAATATACAGCAGGCGTCAGGGTCGGGATCGAACCCACGGCTTCCTGTATAAACCAGGCGAGGTAGTTAACATCTCCTAGCCACCGTGGCGTCCAATCGTCTGTAGCCGTGCTACGCCAGGGCGACCAATAGAGAGGGGAGGGCGAGGTGGGGGTGGGGAGGGCGTGGATCGGCCACTGAACAGCACAGTGGAGTATTATCTGTCCTAGCTTGCGAACGGCGAGCTGCTTGTATTGAATTATCTGCTTTCATTTTGTGAAATCAACAGGGAATTTGTTTATTATTATGATTGAATCAATTAAATATTTTATGCAGATGTGGGTGTTTTCCAGGCCCCTGCACCCTCATCTTTAGTCCCCACCCCTTTTCAAAGAGTCCCCGCCCCTCCATCTTTACGCCCCGCCCCCTTCCTCTTTAGACCCCGCCCTTTCCTCTTTAGACCCCACTCCTTTTCAAAGAGTCCCCGCCCCTTCCTCTTTAGACCCCGCCCCTTCCTCTTTAGACCCTGCCCCTTCCTCTTTAGACCCCACCCCTTTTCCGTCAGGCCCTGCCCCTCCCCCCGTGCAAGGGCCGTGCTAGTTTTGGAGTTTAAAGGCAATGGCGCTTTGGGGTTTTTCTTTTCTTAAATTTTATCCGCTCCAGCCGAGTTGCTTTGAGTGAGAGACAGCGTGAGTGGGGTGGTGGTGGTGGTGGGGGTTGTGATAGAGGTGGGGGGGGGGGGCGTAGATCGGTAAGAGGTGGGATAGAGGCAGTGCCGGATGATCCTCGTAGCAAAAATGGCTACAAATATAGCTTGCTAAATGCTTTCAAGCTTGCTCTATTACTATAGTACTATACCGCCTTCAACTTTTACGAGCAACTGGGTGTTTAAGGTTAGCGATTTGTCGTATTATCTGGCTGTATATCAAATGAAAAAAAAATAACAATTACTTTACTGTGCAAGTAAAAAAATTGGTGCTTTAATATTTACGTGTTTTATTTCAAATTCAGGGCACCTTTATAACGACATAAGCTACAGGCCCCGCACCAACTTAATCCGGCACTGGGTAGGGGGCGATGCTGCTTCACGATCAGCACCCACCGAGAACACACTTAGAGCAAAATAATGATCAACAATCATCGTCGTCGTCATGTTTGCAAGATGGCAAATTGGCAGTCAGCTTTCGAAGGACGCCAGGGCAAGCAATGGCCGCTCAACTCACCACGTACTCCGGAGGAATCCTCGCCCCAAATCCAAATGCCGGGAACATCTTGTCACTGTGGTGGCCGGTGTGGGATAGGGGCGGGAGGGGGAGAGGAGGTATGGGGGGAGGGGTAAAGTGGGGGGGGGGGGGGTGTGGGGGGTGAAGGAGGCAGGGGAGCAGTAGGGGGGAAGGGGGTTAGGTCAGAGGCAGGGGGTCAGAAGGGGGGTCAAAGAGAGCGCAAGCGGATGAGCGAGCGTGCGAGCGTGGCTGGTGGGTGGAACGAGGTTTGATGGTCAGCAGCGCGTGACCCTGTGGGGTAACAGAGGCCCCCTCCACCCACTCCCCCCCCACCCACCCACCCCACCCACCTGTCGTAGTCCTGGCAGATCTCGCCCACCGCCACCAGGGCCTTGAGGTACTCGTTGGGCTGGTAGGGGTGGATGTGGTGCAGGGAGCAGCTGTTCTGGGGGTCCCCGTTTGACGCCGTGAAGTCGATCGCCACCTTGGGGGGGGGGGGGTGGTAGTGGGGGGGGTAGAGGGGGGGCGCAGGGTCAGGCCTGGGTAGTTGAGCGGGAATAGAACTCTGCCACCACCACTAACACCACCACTAACAGCACCACTAACACCACCACTAACAGCACCACTAACAGCACCACTAACACCACCACTAACAGCACCACTAACACCACCACTAACACCACCACTAACAGCACCACTACCACCACCACTACCACCACCACTACCACCACCACTAACACCACCATTACCACCACCACTAACGCCACCACTAACAGCACCACTAACAGCACCACTAACACCACCACTAACGCCACCACTACCATCACCACTAACATCACCACTAACACCACCACTAACACCACCACTAACACCACCACTAACACCACCACTAACAGCACCACTAACACCACCACTAACAGCACCACTAACAGCACCACTAACACCACCACTAACAGCACCACTAACACCACCACTAACACCACCACTAACAGCACCACTACCACCACCACTACCACCACCACTACCACCACCACTAACACCACCATTACCACCACCACTAACGCCACCACTAACAGCACCACTAACAGCACCACTAACACCACCACTAACGCCACCACTACCATCACCACTACCATCACCACTAACATCACCACTAACACCACCACTAACACCACCACTAACACCACCACTAACACCACCACTAACACCACCAATAACACCACCACTAACACCACCACTAACGCCACCACTAACATCACTACTAACACCACCACTAACAGCACCACTAACAGCACCACTACCACCACCAACAACACCACTAACATCGCCACCACTAACAGCACTACCATCACCACTAACAGCACCACAGCCAGCACTACCACCACCACTACCACCGCCACTAACAGCACCACCACCACCACTAACACCACCACTAACACCACCACTAACAGCACCACAGCCACCACTAACACCACTACTAACAGCACCACCAACACCACCACAGCCACCACAGCCACCACTAACAGCACCACAGCCACCACTAACAGCACCATTAACACCACTACTAACACCACTACTAACACCACCACTAACACCACCACTAACACCACCACTAACACCACCACTAACAAAGATCCCCCGTGTAGCCTTAACAGACTGTTTGGGCAAGTGCTGTTAGCGAGCAGCACCTATGAAGGCCGACACGGCACACGAGGGTGTGGGTGGCCAGCACCACGCCCGACCGCCTTTGTCGCCCCAGTGGCGATGTTTACTACACACCGCACTAAGTACTCATTTGAGGCTGAGTCGACCTAGGGGATGCCCAGGACCGGTTCAGATAATGGTCACCGGTATTGGCAATGAGTGGGAATCGAACTCAGGTCGCCGGGTTCATAGCTCAGCGCGCTAACCGCTACACCACCGCTCCCCACACCGCCACTAACAGCACCACCGCCACCACCACTACCACCACCGCTACTACCGCAGCAGTAGGGGGGCTCATGCCCCAACCCCCTCCACCCTGCGTCGCTTTGAAACGATCCCTGCCTTTGATATCGGGGTTGGCAGGAAATGGGCGTGTCAACAGGAGTAGCAGAGCCCCGCTATGATGAGCGCTCCGGGTGAGCGGCTGGGTGGGGTGGGGGGTGGTTGAGTTGGCAGGGGGAAGGGAGCCGAGCGAGTGCACAGATCATCATGATGATGATGAGCGGGGCTGGCACGGAAGCAGCTGTCAGTCTGTGGCCCCGATGGTCTCGCACCCACCACCCCCCCCTCCCCTTGTTCGAGGCAGGGTTCACGTGGCCGCTTGCGTTTCAAACGAAGCCTTCCGCGGTTTCAGTTCGACGTTCAACAACAACGGCGGCGGTGGTGGTGGTGGTGCTGGTGCTGCTGCTGGTGGTGGAGATGGTGGTGGTGGTGAAGATGGTGGTGGTGGTGCTGCTGCTGGTGGTGGTGCTGCTGGTGGTGGTGGAGATGGTGGTGGAGATGGTGGTGGTGGTGCTGCTGGTGGTGGTGGTGGAGATGGTGGTGGAGATGGTGGTGGTGGTGCTGCTGCTGGTGGTGCTGCTGGTGGTGGTGGTGGTGGAGATGGTGGTCGTGGTGGTGGTGCTGCTGCTGGTGGTGGTGGTGGTGGCGAAGGAGGTCGACTCAGCCTCACAATAAGTGCCCGGTGCGGTGAGTAGGAAGTATCGCCACGAGGGGGAGACAAAGGCGGTCGCGGTGGTGGCCACCCACCACCTCGCGTGCCGTGCTCGGTAACTAACAGCACTTGCCCCAAACGTCTGTTGGAGTTGGTGCTGGTGATGATAGAGTTGGTGATGGTGGTGGTGATGGCGTTGGTGCTGGTGATGATGAAGTTGATGGTGCTGGTGATGATGGAGTTGGTGCTGGTGATGAAGTTGGTGATGGTGGTGGTGATGGCGTTGGTGCTGGTGATGAAGTTGGTGATGGTGGTGGTGATGGCGTTGGTGCTGGTGATAAAGTTGGTGATGGTGGTGGCGTTGGTGCTGGTAATGAAGTTGGTGGTGCTGGTGATGATGAAGTTGGTGCTGGTGATGATGGAGTTGGTGGTGCTGGTGATGATGAAGTTGGTGCTGGTGATGATGGAGTTGGTGATGGTGGTGGTGATGGCGTTGGTGCTGGTGATGAAGTTGGTGGTGCTGGTGATGATGGAGTTGGTGATGGTGGTGGTGATGGCGTTGGTGCTGGTGATGAAGTTGATGGTGCTGGTGATGATGAAGTTGGTGCTGGTGATGATGGAGTTGGTGATGGTGGTGGTGATGGCGTTGGTGCTGGTGATGAAGTTGGTGGTGCTGGTGATGATGGAGTTGGTGATGGTGGTGGTGATGGCGTTGGTACTGGTGATGAAGTTGATGGTGCTGGTGATGATGGAGTTGGTGATGGTGGTGATGATGGAGTTGGTGCTGGTGATGAAGTTGGTGTTGGTGGTGGTGATGGCGTTGGTGCTGGTGATGGAGTTGGTGATGGTGGTGGTGATAGTGGTGGTGATGGCGTTGATGCTGGTGATGAAGTTGGTGTTGGTGATGGCGTTGGTGCTGCTGATGAAGTTGGTGATGGTGGTGGTGATGGCGTTGGTGCTGGTGATGAAGTTGGTGATGGTGGTGGTGATGGCGTTGGTGCTGGTGATGATGAAGTTGGTGATGGTGGCCGTGGTGCTGCTGGTGGTGGTGATGTCGGCGATGCAGTCGATGGCGATTTGCGGTGCACCACGTGAAGTCCACACCGAGCGATACGCACTTAAACCCAACAACGATCTCACCCCCCCAGTGCCTCCCCCCCGTGCCCCCCTCCCACCCCCCAAGTGCCCCCCCTCTCCCCGACCCCCTACCCCACCTCATTACGAACCGATCCGTAGCGCCCCACTTACCGCAAACTGGATCTGGCAGCCTCCCATAATGTACTCGAGGAAGGAGTAAATCTTGATTATCTGCCGGAGACGTGAGCGACAAAGAGCGGGACATCAATCGCTGTGTCACCGCCCCCCCCTCACCCCCGGGGGAGCAGGAGCATCCCCACGGGTAGAGAGAGACGCGCTGTGCGCTGCTACCCCCTCCCACCCCCTCCTTACAACATACATCACCATTTAGATCATTAGCAACAAACGTTCCGGTGTAAACATCGTTTGCGTATTCAGCGCTCGCCCCCCCATCCGCCACCCCGTTTGATTGATTTTCACACACACACAGACACACACACATACACACACACACAGACATACACAGTGACACACACACACAGACATACACAGTGATACACACACACAGACACACACACACAGACACACACACACATACACACACACAGACACACACACACACAGACATACACAGTGACACACACACACAGACACACACACACAGACACACACACAGACACACACACAGACACACACACACACAGACATACACAGTGACACACACACACAGACACACACAGTGACACACACACAAAGATCCCCCATGTAGCCTTAACAGACTGTAGGCGCAAGTGCTGTTAGCGAGCACCTATGAAGGCCGCCACGCCTGGCCGCCTTTGTCTCCCTAGTGGCGATGTTTACACACCGCACCAGGTACTCATTTGAGGCTGAGTCGACCTAGGGGAGGAGGCCCAGGACCGGTTGAGATAATCGTCACCGGTGTTGGCCGTGAGCGGGAATCGAACTCGGGTCGCCGGGTTCATAGCGCAGCGCGCTGAGTGGACTTGCCGATGACTGGTACCAGCGGTGTCAAGATCGGCCTCTGTGGAGGAGGCTCGTGAAGGACGCTACTGGGCAGTTGGAGGCAGTCGCCCTCCAACAACAACAGAGGACGGAGCAGCGACACTCACAACAACGAGCGGAGCGCCGGGTTGCTAAAGCACAGCGAGTTGGCACAGTAGGGGGCACAGGTGGTGCATCAGCCAGTCATCTCAGTCAGTCGACCCGTGGCACCTGGGTCTGCCCCGTGACCTCCTGACAGCGGGCGTTCGACACTTCACGTGGCGAATAGCGGTTGTTGTTGTTGTACCCTGCATTGTGTTAGTGAGTGCACGTACCCTACACTGTGTGTGTGTCTGCACGTACCCTGCACTGTGTGTGTGTTGCTGCACGTACTCTGCACTGTGTGTGTGTCTGCACGTACTCTGCACTGTGTGTGTGTCTGCACGTACTCTGCACTGTGTGTGTGTGTCTGCACGTACCCTGCACTGTGTGTGTGTGTCTGCACGTACCCTGCACTGTGTGTGTGTGTCTGCACGTACTCTGCACTGTGTGTGTGTGAGTGCACGTACCCTGCACTGTGTTAGTGAGTGCACGTACCCTGCACTGTGTGTGTGTCTGCACGTACCCTACACTGTGTGTGTGTCTGTACGTACCCTACACTGTGTGTGTGTCTGCACGTACCCTACACTGTGTGTGTGTGTCTGCACGTGCCCTACACTGTGTGTGTCTGCACGTACCCTACACTGTGTGTGTGTCTGCACGTACCCTGCACTGTGTGTGTGTCTGCACGTACCCTACACTGTGTGTGTGTCTGCACGTACCCTGCACTGTGTGTGTGTCTGCACGTACCCTACACTGTGTGTGTGTCTGCACGTACCCTGCACTGTGTGTGTCTGCACGTACCCTGCACTGCGCCAGAATGACTGTTCCCGAGTTTTTGTACCGCCGCTTCTTGGCCTTGTACTTGGGGTTGATGCATGGCCACTGCACCTGTGCAACACAAACCACTCACGGAGTCACCCAATCCACCAGTCCACCAGTCCACCAGTCACCCAGTCAGTCACCCAGTCAGTCACCCAGTCAGTAACCCAGTCAGTAACCCAGTCCACCAGTCACCCAGTCAATCACCCAGTCCACCAGTCCACCAGTCACCCAGTCCACCAGTCACCCAGTCAGTCACCCAATCCACCAGTCACCCACTCACACAGACACCCAATCCACCAGTCACCCAGTCCGCCAGTCACTCAGTCACCCAGTCCACCAGTCCACCAGTCACCCAGTCCACCAGTCACCCAGTCAGTCACACAATCCACCAGTCACCCAGTCCACCAGTCATCCACTCACACAGACACCCAATCCACCAGTCACCCAGTCCGCCAGTCACCCAGACACCCACTCACGCAGTCACCCAATCCACCAGTCACCCAGTCACCCAGTCCACCAGTCACCCAGTCCACCAGTCACCCAATCCACCAGTCACCCAGTCCACCAGACGCCCACTCACGCAGTCCACCAGTCACCCAGTCACCCAGTCCACCAGTCACCCAGTCACCCAGTCCACCAGTCCACCAGTCACCCAGTCAGTCACCCAATCCGCTAGTCAGTCACCCAGTCCACCGGTACCCTCTCTCGTCACGAGGCCGTCCATGCAACAACAGCAGCCTTACGTCAATAAGAGTTCTTTGCAAAATAAATTAATTGATAACTGCGACGAAACGCGTTCGTCGTCGTTGGACTAACGAGGCGGCGTGTTTATCACGGAAACGTTTTAGACGGCGAGTCTCAGGCACTGCCGCATTACAGCCACCCCGAGTCAGTGCAGGATGATCCGCGTAGCACTAGTAGCTAATACACGCGTAGTAGCTACTAATACACGCGTAGTAGCTACTAATACACGTGCAGTAGCTACTACTACATGTGTAGCAGCTACTACTACATGTGTAGCAGCTACTACACATGTAGTAGTAGCTGCTAGACATGTAGTAGTAGTAGTAGTACATGTGTAGCAGCTACTACTACATGTGTAGCAGCTACTACACATGTAGTAGTAGCTGCTAGACATGTAGTAGTAGCTACTACACATGCAGTAGCTACTACTAACGTAGTAGGGCCCGTAGCTACTACATATGTAGTAGCTACTACATATGTAGTAGCTACTACATATGTAGTAGCTACTACATATGTAGTAGCTACAACATGTGTAGTAGCTACTACACATGTAGTAGTAGTAGCTACTACACGTGTAGAAGTAGTAGTAGCTGCTACACATGTAGTAGTAGTAGCTACTACACATGTAGAAGTAGATACTACACATGTAGTAGTAGTAGCTACTACACGTGTAGTAGTAGTAGTAGCTGCTACACATGTAGTAGTAGCTACTACACATGTAGTAGTAGTAGCTACTACATGTGTAGTAGTAGTAGCTACACATGTAGTGTAGTAGTAGCTACACATGTAGTAGTAGTAGCTACACATGTAGTAGTAGTAGCTACTACATGTGTAGTAGCTACTACTACTACATGTGTAGTAGCTACGGGCCCCGCACTTTCAAGGCCCCCGCGCTAAACGCTCTCAAGCTGTCAACTCCGGTTCAGTGATTCTACACTTGCTCTATCACTATAGTATTATACCGCCTTCGACTTTTACGAACCACCCGGGTGTTTGAGGTTAGCGATTTGTCGTATTATCTGTGGCTGTATAGCAAATGAAAAAATACAATTTACTTTACTATGCGAGTTAAACATTTACGTGTTTTAATATTGACGTGGTTTATTTTATTTAATTTAGGCCCCCTTTATAACATATACTAGAGGCACCGCGCTAGCTTCATCCGGCCACTGGCTAGGAGGAGGTGGGGTGGGGGGGGGGAGGCGAAGAGGCACCATCAGGACTCACGTGAGTGTCATCCTGGGCCGCGAGGGTCTCGTGGAAGGTGGTGTAGAACTCTCCGATAAAGTCGTGCTTCCCGCTCGAGTCCCAGTCCCACACCATGCACTGCCGCGTGGACAACACAGACAAAGGTCACGCCCCGCTCTCCCCGCGTGACCTTCAACGAGGCTGTCGGTAGCGAGCAGCAGCAGCAGCATCAGCAGCTTGTGGTACACGAGGAGGTGGGTGGTGTGGCCTGCACCACGACCACCCAGCCACAGCCGTGGGTCAGGGTCCGGGTCAAGGCACCGGGAGGGGGGGGGGGGGGGCTTTAGGAGCTGCAGCCCAGGGGCCTCCAGAGATGAAGTGAAAAGTGATTTCGTTCGTGAATGCTGAATTGTATTTGTTGTTAGCCTTGTAGAAATACAAGTTCCTCTTTCTTTAACTTTGTTTTCCTTTTGAACATATTACTGGGGCGTGGCGGGGCTCACAGTACCTGTAGCTCAGGGGCCTACAAAATCTAAATCCGGTACTCATTTTGAGGCTGAGTCCACCTAGTGGGGGAGTGCGTGACCGGGAATCGAACTCGGCTCGCCTGGGTTCGAAGCGGAGCGCGCCAACCAAACGCTACCCCCCCCCCCCCCCCCACCACGTGCAGGCATAACAAAGACAAAGAACCCCCTTGTCGCCTGCAACACTGTTGGGACCAAGTGCTGTTAGTGAGCAGCAGCAGCAGCACCTATAGGTGCCATCCATTTAGTGCGTACGCATGGAAGGGGGAGTGGAGGGGGGGGTTAACCCAAACGCTTGCGTACTGACAATGTACTTACGCATAGGACACGGAGGGGGGTGAAGCCTCGATAATAATAATGCGGCCGGCGGTGGACTATCTTAATGCTTAAACACGTTAATAGTATTCATCCTTGATCGTTTCTGCGTGGATTAAATATCGGCCGTTCTATAGGATTCGGTGGGGGGGGGGGGGGGGGTGCGTCAGGCTGTACGTACGCAGGTGGGGAGGGGGGTAGGGGAGCTGTAATAAGTCCGCGTGCGTACCGGGAGGGGGTCAAGTTTTGACATATTATTTGCGTTGCGGACTGAAAGGATGGCCCCCTATGAAGACCGTGGTGTCATCAGCAAACCACGCACGGTCCGCCGTCTTTGTCTCCCCCAGTGACGATGTTTACTAAACACCGCACCAGGTACTCATTTGAGGCTGAGTCGACCTAGGGGAGGCCCAGGACCGGTTCAGATAATCGTCACCGGTGTTGGCCGTGAGCGGGAATCGAACCCGGGTCGCTGAGTTCATAGCGCAGCGTAGCGCTAACCGCTAACCACTACACCGCTACACCGCTACACCGCTACACCGCTACACCACCGCTCCCCACGCTAACACCACCACTACCGCTTCCCATAAAAAGACAAAGATTCCCCGCACACACACACACGTTCACACACACACACGTTCACACACACACACGTTCACACACACACACGTTCACACACACACACGTTCACACACACACACGTTCACACACACACACGTTCACACACACGTTCACACACACACATACACCACACACGCGCATACACCACACACACACGTTCACACACACACACACGTTCACACACACACACACGTTCACACACGCGCATACACCACACACACGTTCACACGTTCACACGCACGCATACACCACACACACACACGTTCACACACACGCATACACCACACACACACGTTCACACACACACGTTCACACACACACGTTCACACACACGCATACACCACACACACACACGTTCACACACACGCATACACCACACACACACATATTCACACACACACGTTCACACACACACGTTCACACACACGCATACACCACACACACACACGTTCACACACACACACACACGTTCACACACACACACGTTCACACACGCGCATACACCACACACGCACGCATACACCACACACACACACACACGTTCATACACACACACACGTTCACACACGCGCATACACCACACACACACACGTTCACACACACACATTCACACACGCATACACCACACACACACACACGTTCATACACACACACGTTCACACACACGCATACACCACACACACACACACGAGTGAACACGGGCGATTGTGCTCGCGTGCAGCAAGGTGAGTTTCCACTCAGCACACCACGCTGACCACCACCATCACCACCATCACCACCATCATCACCACCATCACCATCACCACCATCACCACCACCATCACCACCATCACCACCACCACCACCACTCCACCACCACCACCACTCCACCACGTGCCCCGCCACGTGACGTCACCTTCAGCTGCCTCTCGTAGTCGCAGCAGCATAGCGACTGGATGGACACCTTGAAGGGTTTCCATACCGGGTTCAGGTTGTCCATAATCACCTGTGGCACACCGCCGGCACACGCGGACGGCCAGGAGGAGGAGGGAGCACACACGGAGATAATGGGTGGGGTGAGTGGGTGAATAGGTGGGTGGGTGGGGTGAGTGGGTGAATAGGTGGGTGGGTGGGGTAAGTGGGTGAATAGATGGGTGGGTGGGGTGAATAGGTGGGTGGGTGAGTGGGTGAGTGTGTGGGTAAGTGGATGGGTGTGTGGGGTTGGTGAGTGGGTGAGTGTGTGGGTAAGTGGGTAAGTGTGTGGGTAGGTGAGTGGGTGAGTGTGTGGGTAAGTGGGTGGGTGTGTGGGTAAATTAGTGAGTGGGTGTTGATGTGTGAGTGGGTGTGGATGAATGAGTGGGTGTGTGTGTGTGAGTGAGTGGATGTGTGCGTGGGTGTTTGTGTGAGTGAGTGGGTGCGTGAGTGGGTGCGTGCGTGAGTGGGTTGGTGTGTGAGTGGGTGTGTGAGTGGGTAAATTAGTGAGTGGGTTAACGAGGGAGTGAATGGTGGTGGGGTGAGTGAGTGATTTGGTGAGTGAGTGAGTTAATGAGTAGCTTAATCAGTGAGTGGATGGGTGGGTGAGTGGTTGTGTGAGTGAGTTAGTGGGTTAATGAGTTAGTGAGTTAATGAGTGAGTCAGTGGATAAGTGGTGAAATTAGAGAATGGTTGGGTGAGTGAGAGGGTCAATGGGTGAGTGAGTGGTTTGGGTAAACGAGTGATTGGGTGAGTGAGTTAGTGGGTTAATAATGAGTGAGTGAGTGGATGGGTGGGTGGTTGATTGAGTGAGCGAGTGGTTGGATGAGTGAGTGGGTTGGGTGAGCGAGTGGGTCAATGGGTGAGCGCGTGGTTTGGTGAGTAAGTTAGTGAGTTAATGAGTGAGTGGCTTAATCAGTGAGTGGACCGGTGGGTGAGCGAGTAAATTCATGGGTGAGTGAGTGGGTTAATAGGTGAGTGAGTGGCTGGGTGAATGTGTGATTGGGTGAGTGAGTTAGAGAGTGGTTGAGTTGGTGGGTTAATGAGTGAGTGAGTGGATGGGTCGTGGATTGAGTGAGCGAGTGGTTGGGTGAGTAAGTGGGTTAGGTGAGCGAGTGAGTTAATAGGTGAGCGCGTGGTTGGGTGAGTGGTTGGGTGAGTGGCTGTGTGAGTGAGTGGCTGAGTGAGTGGTTGAGTGAGTGGTTTGGTTGGGTGAATGAGTGGTTGGGTGAGTGAGTGGTTGGTTGTGTGGTTGGCTGAGTGAGTGGTTGGCTGAGTGGTTGGGTGAGTGGATGGGTGAGTGGTGGGTGAGTGGTTGGGTGAGTGAGTGGTTGAGTGGTTGGGTGAGTGAGTGTTTGGGTGAGTGAGTGGTTGGGTGAGTGAGTGGTTGGGTGAGTGGCTGTGTGAGTGAGTGGCTGAGTGAGTGGTTTGGTGAATAAGTGGTTGGGTGAGTGAGTGGTTGGGTGAGTGAGTGGTTGGCTGAGTGAGTGGTTGGCTGAGTGAGTGGTTGGGTGAGTGAGTGGTTGGCTGAGTGAGTGGTTGGCTGAGTGAGTGGTTGGCTGAGTGAGTGGTTAGCTGAGTGAGTGGTTGGGTGAGTGAGTGGTTGGGTGAGTGAATGGTTGGCTGAGTGAGTGGTTGGCTGAGCGAGTGGTTGGCTGAGTGAGTGGTTGGCTGAGCGAGTGATTGGGTGAGTGAGTGGTTGGGTGAGTGAGTGGTTTGGTGAGTGAGTGGTTGGCTGAATGAGTGGTTGGCTGAGTGAGTGGTTGGCTGAGCGAGTGGTTGGGTGAGCGAGTGGTTGGGTGAGTGAGTGGTTGGCTGAGCGAGTGGTTGGCTGAGCGAGTGGTTGGCTGAGCGAGTGGTTGGCTGAGCGAGTGGTTGGGTGAGTGAGTGGTTGGGTGAGTGAGTGTTTGGGTGAGCGAGTGGTTGGGTGAGTGAGTGGTTGGCTGAGTGAGTGATTGGGTGAGTGAGTGGTTGGGTGAGTGAGTGGTTGGCTGAGTGAGTGGTTGGCTGAGTGAGTGGTTGGCTGAGTGAGTGGTTGAGTGAGTGGTTGGCTGAGTGAGTGGTTGGCTGAGTGAGTGATTGGCTGAGTGAGTGGTTGGCTGAGCGAGTGGTTGGGTGAGCGAGTGGTTGGCTGAGTGAGTGGTTGGCTGAGTGAGTGGTTGGCTGAGTGAGTGGTTGGCTGAGCGAGTGGTTGGGTGAGTGAGTGGTTGGCTGAGTGAGTGGTTGGGTGAGTGAGTGGTTGGCTGAGTGAGTGGTTGGGTGAGTGAGTGGTTGGCTGATCGAGTGGTTGGGTGAGTGAGTGGTTGGCTGAGTGAGTAGTTGGGTGCGTGAGTGGTTGGCTGAGCGAGTGGTTGGGTGAGTGAGTGGTTGGCTGAGTGAGTGGTTGGGTGAGCGAGTGGTTGGGTGAGCGAGTGGTTGGCTGAGTGAGTGGTTGGCTGAGTGAGTGGTTGGCTGAGCGAGTGGTTGGGTGAGTGAGTGGTTGGGTGAGTGAGTGGTTGGGTGAGTGGTTGGGTGAGTGAGTGGTTGGGTGAGTGGTTGGGTGAGTGGTTGGGTGAGTGAGTGAGTGGTTGGGTGAGTGAGTGGTTGGGTGAGTGGTTGGGTGAGTGAGTGAGTGGTTGGGTGAGTGAGTGGTTGGCTGAGTGAGTGGTTGGGTGAGTGAGTGGTTGGATGAGTGAGTGGTTGGGTGAGTGAGTGGTTGGGTGAGTGAGTGGTTGGCTGAGTGAGTGGTTGGGTGAGTGAGTGGTTGGGTAAGTGAGTGGTTGGTTGTGTGGTTGGCTGAGTGAGTGGTTGGCTGAGTGGTTGGGTGAGTGGATGGGTGAGTGGTGGGTGAGTGGTTGGGTGAGTGAGTGGTTGGCTGAGTGAGTGGTTGGCTGAGTGAGTGGTTGGCTGAGCGAGTGGTTGGCTGAGCGAGTGGTTGGGTGAGTGAGTGGTTGGCTGAGTGAGTGGTTGGGTGAGTGAGTAGTTGGCTGAGTGAGTGGTTAGGTGAGTGAGTGGTTGGGTGAGTGGTTGGGTGAGTGGTTGGCTGAGTGGTTGGCTGAGTGGTTGGGTGAGTGGTTGGGTGAGTAGTTGGGTGAGTGAGTGGTTGGCTGAGTGAGTGGTTGGGTGAGTGATTGGTTG